TCCTAACTTTGATGGCTTGTGTGTTACGCTAGAGACAGTCCAAATATACAATAGAAATTAAATGTCAGTGACAGAGAAAATGTTGCCAAAGCTGGGGATGGTAAATATTATGATCTGGATTAATACGGTTATTTAATGTTTAGAAATCAGGAAGTGGACAAGATTATCTACATACATATATATTTAATAGGAAATTTTATTCAGTATCTTCTTCCTCAAGTGTCAATCAAGGAAAAGGACATGTTCTACTAATTGCAGACTGTCATCCAGTTTGGACAGTGATATTTATATTTGATTAATAAAATATAAAATTCTAAGTAATAGTTCCCAGAAGTGGAAATATTTACTTTTGTCAATACGAGCAGCTTAATTAGCATTGGTGTGGCACTATAGGATCACCACAGTCGGCAGTTCAAAACACCAACTATTCCTTGGAAACCGTATGCAGAGTCATTAAGAGTCGGAACTGATGTGACATCACTTAACAACAATTGCGTTGACTTTGTATTGAGAATCCAGTACTGAATTATTTTGTAGTACTTACTTATCTGACTGTTGTTCTTTTTAAGTGCCACTGAGTTGGTTCTGACTCATAGACACCATGTATAGGAGCAGTTGGTGGGTTAGAACCACTGACCTTGCAGTCAGCAGCCCAGTGCTTCTCCTATAGCGTCACATCAAGACTCCACTTGTCTGGTTAGCTGTTCTTAAATTTCAGTAAGAAACGTTCCCAGAGTCAGAAAGAGACAGAAAGAACCCAAGACTTCGGCCCTCACTCATCTTTCAGGTCTGGAACACAACTCACTATCATGACCCAATTTTCAACCAAGCCGTAGATGGATATTTAGCGGAGACAATACTAGTGAGGTATGCTCACCATGGAATGGTCAACCATTCAAGGTCAAAAGGGCAGCATTTACCTGGGGACAAGATTCAGAGGGGTGGGGAAGGAGGGTGGAATGGAAATAGGAACCACAGGAGGAAGTGGGATAACTGTTGCTACATGCTTGGGATTGCAATCATTGGGATAAAACGAAGTGTGTGATTTCTTGGATGTAAAACTGATGATTTACTCTGTAAAACCTTCACTCCATTCATACTAAAAAGTTAAAAAAACAAAACAAAAACTGTTCCTAGTGTACAAAACAAATTTTACCTGTAAGTATGCAACACACTACACACGAATCGGGCTGTGGGCCGCAAGATCAGCAGTTCGAAACTACCAGCTGCTCCACGGGAGAAAGATGAGGCTTTCTGCTCCCGTAAAGATTGACAGCCTTGGAAACCCTGTACAGGGTCGCTATGAGTCGGAACCGACTCCACGGCACATAACAACAACAACAACCCCCAAATGCACTATGTGGTGCTGTAGGATAAACACTGGACTACTAACCACAAGGTGGGTGATTCAAACCTACCACTTGCTCCTCAGAAACCCTATTTAGGGTCGCTATGAGTCAGAACCAACTCCATGGAACTTAACAATTCATAAACGCAAGTTGCAGATCATAGGTTCTTAAAGAAATGGGCCAAGACTGGTAGCAATCAAATCACAGGAAGTAAAAACTGGTAAGATTTATTGGTCTGAACAATCTTCTCAGACTCTACTTATTCAAGGCATGAGGTATGGTTGGTAGCATCACACGGGGAATTAAAAGGCCTGCGGTGGGACACACACACACACACACACACACTCTCTCTCTCTCAGAAAACAATTTCCAGGAAAGAAAGAAAAAAAAAAAAAAAGATTTCTTTGAGGCTTTTCACTTTGATTAAATTCTTTTGAGGCATGCAGGCCAGGTTAACATTATGTTGGTAAATATGGTTGTTGTTGTGGCTAAGTGCCATCAGGTTGGTTCCAACCCATAGTGATCCATATAGGGTTTCTGAGGAGTGCATGCTGAGCTTGAACCACCCACCTTGCGGTTCAAACTGATTTTGTAGTCCCAGAGCATTAACCCACAGCGCCACACCAAGATTCCTTGGGCATGGTATTAGAAGATAAACCTTAATCAAATACTCTATTAAACTTTTATGAAGGATGGGCAGTTTGGATTTCTTACCCATCTAAACCTATGCAGTTCAATATGATAGCTAATAATTATATGTGGTTATTCAACACTTGAAATGTGGCTATTTTGAATTGAAGACTTAATATAAACAAAATAATGCAACATCTCATTAATAATTGTTATATTAATTTTGTGTTACAATGACAATATTTAAAATATACTTGATGGAATAAAATGTTACTGAAATAAATTTCACCTGTTTCTCTTCCTTTTTAAAAAATAATTTCAAGAAAAATTTAAATGATACATTTGTTGTTCTTGAGTGTCATCAAGTCAGTTCCGACCCATAGCGACCCCATAACTGGGTCGAGGAGTGGCTGGTGAGCTTGAACCACCGACTTTGTTTGGTTTAAACAACTGCAGTCTAGCACATAAACGCACAGCGCAACACGAGGACTCCAATGCTACATTTAGTTCATATTATATTTCTACTGGACAAAGCTGACCTTTCTTCTTCAAATTGGTGGCTCTCATGTTGAAAGTGGCATGACCTAAGAGTTTGTTAGAAATGAAGACTGCTGCTCCTACCCCAACGAAAAAAATCACTGCCATTGCAGGTGAGTTGATTCTGATTTATAACAAGCCTATGGAAAGAACAGAACTGCCCCTCGGGGTTTCCAAGGCTGTAATGTGCGATGTGGGTTAATATGCTGGACTGACTGCCCAGAGGGTTTGCACCGTAAAGATGGTGGTTCAACCTCACCAGCTGCTGCTTGGAAACCCTACATAGGGTCACTACGGGTCAGAATTGACTTGACGGCTCTTAGCAACAACAAAAACAATATTTAGAGAAGCAGGCTGCCAGCCTTTTTGTGGCAGAACGGCTGGTGGATTGAAATCACTGAGCTTACAATTAACAGAACCACAGAACTGCCTGGACTCTTGCTCCTGCCTGAGACCAACTGAATCAGAATCTACATGTTAACAAGCTCCCAGGTGATTCCTGTGCATATTTCAGTTCAAGAGTGTTGGGCTGGCTTCTCCTAAAACCTTAGCACAGTTGGTATTTGGCTTGTTGGTACATATGAGTGATATCTTATAAGGATGTTGTGCTTACTGAATTTGCTACACAAATACTCTAGAAAAGCAGTGGGAGTCATTTAATTTTAAATTACTATAGAAATGTAAAGTCTATTAAAATTATGTCATGCATAAAAGCTTACGCACACACATACATATATACCACACATGAGGGAGCTTCAAAAAGTTTGTGAAACAGTGGAATTAAAAGAAAATGGAATTTTTCTACAAACAACTTTTGGAAACCCCATCATGTATGTGTGTGTGTGTTTGTGTGTATGTATATTTGTACATAGCAAGTCCAGGTGAGTTGCTGTGGGTTAATGAGCTAGACTGCAAAGTCGGTTTGAACCACAAGGTCAGTGGTTCAAGCTCACCAGCTGCTTGAAAACCCTATACAGGGTCTCTATGGGTTGGAACCTACTCGACGGTACTTAACAACAACAAGCTATGGTTAGTAATTCAGAGCTTATCCTATAGAGCCACAGTGCCTCACTATGTACATGGTGGTTTGGTCCCATCAGATGCTCCATGAAAGAAAGATGAGGCTTTTTGCTCCTGCAAATATTTACAGTCTCATAAACCCTATACAGGGCCTCTATGAGTTGGAGCCAATTCAATGGTGGGTAGCAACAACACACACACACACACACACACACATAAATATATATATATACACACACACATACTTTGGACATATTGTCTGGAGGAAACAGTCGCTGGAGAAGGATGTAATGCTGGGTAAGGTGGAGGGTCAGAGAAAAAGAGGAAGACCCCTATCGAGATGGA